GGATTCTCCTTTTTCCATGAGGATTTTAAGAAATGTAATTGAAGGCCTTAAAGAATGATTATAAAATGAGAACAGGGGTAGAATTGGTAACAAACTTACAAAGATATGGAAAGAAAGGAATACTAGGTTTAGCAGCAAAAGGAGCAGCAGAGGAAAAGAAAGAGGAAGTAGATCTGAGAGGGGGCAGTACAAGTGAGTGAAAAGCACTTGAGTCCTCCCAGAGTTCGCCACAAGCACATGCAACAGCAGAAACCACAAATTAGAGACAAGCCTAGCAGTGGATCACCACTACCCTGCTCAGGCTTTGAACCCATATGGCTAGGAACCCTCTTCTGTCTCCTCTTACTGTCTCTGCCTTCTCTCCTCACCCACCCATCTAAAAGGAAGGGACTTAAACCCAAAGTGTCCTAGTTACCTTTTAAACTACTCCTTCAGTGTATCAAATGACATTTGTGTGTTTGATTCCTTTAGACAGAAAATTGATCCTCCCTTTTATGCTGATTTACTTCAAGCCATGATCAGAGAATGCCCCTGAACATCTTTGCAGAGTGAGAGACTGCAGCTCTGAGAGCTTTATATTTCACAGAACATATAGGCTGCGGTCTCACATCCTAGCTTGGTGGTCAACAAGTCCATGTGATGCTATCCTGAGCTAGAGAGGTGATTCCTTATAGACGTGGCTAATGACTTCCCTAATGACTAAAGGGTTCTAAATGTCCATTATTATGGTAACTATATAGTATAGCTCACTAGGAGAGTATGGCAGCAGGTTCCTAAGCCTGGGCGTTTCTGCTTCACCAAAACTCCATGAAGGGAGCAGGGAATGAGGAGGGACTACAGTCCTAGCTCCACAGCGACATCTGACGTTACCAGAAATTATAGGCTCTTTGTAGGGTTGGAGTGAACCTAACAAAAACCAGTAAAAGCCCATTTGCCTGGAGCCTCAAGCATCTAATCAAGAGGCCGTTAAACTGAAAAAGAGGTTAAACACATAAATCTAATAAGTCTGGTACTACAGACAGTGGTGGTTGTCCTTCATTCTCAGAGAGGACCAAAATGACATCACTACGCTGGAGTCAAGTTTCAGTGTGTCCGACTGTGGCTGATCAGACCAATAGGAGCTCTGAACGCTCTACCATAGATCAGGCACAAAAAATCCACCGCAAACAGTATCACTTATAATAAAGGGAAAAACATAAGAAGTGAAAAAAAAAGTCATTCACAGAAGACTACATTTATGAAGACAGCCAGCAATATAATCCACAGCTTCAGATTGCTATGTACAGTCACACAATGTACAGGTATGAAAAAAGTGAAATCAAGATTATAATCTAATGAAATTTGACCTTAAAGGCATCATTGAGATTTTGTGAGAGGGTACCAGCTTTATTCAAAGAAAAAGTTAAGGGACAGCTAGGCGGCGCAGTGGATAGAGCACCAGTCCTGGATTCAGGAGGACCTGAGATCAAATCCGACATCAGACACATAACACTTACTAGCTGTGTGACCCTGGGCAAGTCACTTAACCCCATTGCCTAGCCAAAAAAAAAAAAGTTAAAAGGAGTGAGATGGAATATCATCATATGTTAAGAATATATACAAAATGTGAGGAAATCCAGGGAAGAAACATGGATGATTGAGCATTTGAGAGCCGATGGAGGTACAAACAGACATAATATTATTACAAGAATATTCTACTATACAACTAGACTGAAGAAGTGATTAGATAAGGAACGTGAGAAGCAGGTCATGAATCTAGCTTCAAAGCCTGACATTGTAGTAAAAGGGAACTTCAATTATCTATAAATCCCTCTGCTAAGAGCAGAAAAATTGATAAATTTGTGATTTGCCTTCAAAAGACAGAGGAAATGACAAAGGAAATAGCTATTTCAGATGCAATTCTTGCCAATTAGGAGGACCTGTTTACCGAAGCAGAAACAATAGAAACCTCAGCAGCATGATAGAAAAAGGGAGCAAAACCAGACATAATCTGTTCTCTACCCTAAAAAGGGGGAAAGGATATTTCAAAGGATTCAGTGAAAGTAAAGATTGGGTCTAATATCCTAATATTTTGCTGGAGAAATTGACCCAAACATAAGCTTCTTAAGACCTAAACAGGAATAGATAGAAGTAGAAAAAAAGAGCTGCCTAAGAAGACCAACGTGGATTACACGAATGTATGTTCACGCTCAGTTTGTTTAGATATGCATGGAAGAAAGAAGTACAGATAAGTAGCTGAGCAGAATGTTTTTAAAAGTACCAATGGTCTGATAAAAATTATATCAGGAACTCTAAAGCCTAGGACATGCTGAGACTGATATAAATCTAAGGAACAATAAAAAGTGATTGCTTTAAACTATATTTGATGCAACAGGTAGATTAAAGAAAATATAGATGATTGAAATGATGATGACTTATTTGGAGTCGTTTGAATAGGTTTTGAAACAAATTGGCAGGTATTATTACTGTTCCCAGTTTACATTTGGCAAAAGTGAAACTCAGAGAAGTTTAAATGATTTAAGCCCAGTGACACTGGGCTATGCTGTGTATGTATAAGTATAAATTAGAGGGAGAGGGGATGGCCTCACTTCCAAATTGGATCAAGTTGAATAGGGACAAGGCAACGGGTGAGGCCTCCTTGGCATAAGCAGATTAAAGGAACTGCAGGCAGTGTGGCAGAGAACGCCCAAGCATAGCCTTTCAATTGTTAAGAGATTAAAAGATTCTAGGGCTATATCCCAAAAAGATCATACAAATAGGAAAAGGACCCACTTGTCCAAAAATATTTATAGCAGCTCTTTCTGTGGTGGGAAAGAATTGGAAATTGAGGGGATGCTCATCAATTGGGAAATGGATGAACAAGTTGTGGTATATGAATATAATGGAATAGTATTGTGCTATAAGAAATGATGAACAGGCGGACTTCAGAAAAACCTGGAAAGGCTTGTATAGACTGAGGCTGAATGAAGTGAGCACAACCAAGAGAGCGTTGTACACAATAACAGCCATGTTGTGCGATGACTAACATTGATAAACTTAACCCTTTCCAGCAATACAACGATCTAAGACATCTCCAGAGGCCTCGTGATGGAAAATACTAACCAAATCCAAAGAAAGAACTATGGAGTTTGAATGCAGATTGCAGCATACTATTTATTCTTTTTTTTTCTTCTGTTCTGTTTTGTTTCCTCTTTCTTGTGTTTCCTTTTATTGGTTCTAATTCTTCCTCACAACATGACTAATGTGAAAATATGTTTAATAGGAATGTACATGCCTACATCAAATTGCACATCATCTTGGGGAGGGAGGTGGGGAGGAAGGGGGAGAATATTTAAAACTCAAAAGCTTATGGAAATGATTGTTGATAAATCAAAATAAATTAATTTTAAAAATAAAAAGCTTTAAAAAAAATAAAACTAAAAAAGTAAAGAAAAACCTAAAAAAAAGAAAAAGAAAAAGAAACGATGAGCAAGTGGGCCTCAGAAAAACCTGGAAAGACTTGCATAGACTGATGCTGAGCAAAGTGAGCAGAACCAAGAGAACGTTGTACACAGTAACAGTCACATTGTGCAATGACTAACTGTGATAGACTTAGCTCTTCTCAGCTATGCAAGGATCTAAGATATCTTCAAAAGGTCTCATGATGGAAAATGTTGTCCACATCCAGAGAAAGAACTATGGAGTTTGAATGCAGATTGAAGCATACTATTTCCTTTTTTTTCCTTCTGTTTTCTTTTGTTTCTTCTTTCTTGTGGTTCCTCCTATAGGTTCTAATTCTTTTTTACAACATGACTAATGGGAAAATATGTTTAATAGGAATGTATATGTAAAGCCTGTATCAGATTGTATGTCATCTTGGGGATGGAAATGGCAAGGGAGGGGGGAGAAAATTTAAAACTCAAAAGCTTATGGAAGTGATTGTTGAAAACTAAAAATAAATTAATTAAAATTTTTAAAAAGAGATTAAAAAAGGTTAATGATTAAGAGGTAAAGAGGGGCAGCTAGGTGGCGCAGTGGATAGAGCACCGGGCCTGGATCCAGGAGGACCTGAGTTCAAATGCGGCCTCAGACACATAACACTTACTACTTGTGTGACCCTGGGCAAGTCACTTAACCCCATTGCCTAGCTTAAATTAAAAAAAAGAAATTTGGCTTTAAAAAACAAATTTTTAAAAAGAGGTAAAGAGAGACTTCAGAGGGACACAACGATACCAATAAAGCCTGTCCTCTTGCAATTGTCAGTGTTAGATTTATGATATTCAGACAGTACACTGCGGGTCTTAGCTTCTGTGGCAGTTTATCATCACCTTGTTTTACGTGCCAAAGTATCAGAGCTCCAGAGACCAAAGCACAGTGAAATTGCAACCCTGAGGATTAGCATTCTTGGGGCCCCAGGCCCCTCTGACTACAAAGGTGGTGCTATTTTCACTGAACTTTGTTCATGTACCTGTGACCAATAGAATCACTGAAGTTTCTACATTCTAAACTAGTTATGACTTTGTATCATCCTTGCCACTGGGAAATGGGAAGTCTAAATATAATATATTGATTTTTTGAGTTAACTATCTTCCTCCCTGCTGGAAGGTAACTATGAGAAAAAGCAGATTGCTGCGTGATGAGGGTTTCGGTCTTTGGGAAGACAAACTATATCTGGGGATAAAATAGAATATACAAATTATGTTTATATATGAATTATTATTTTTCTTTTATTACCTTTTATCTATTCCAATTAAATTGCTTACTAAGGAAATAGCACAGGGGCATTTTATTGACAGTTGTAAAGGGAAAGGATAAAGTAATGAATCTATTCTAATGTGAATCAAGAAAAGTGATGAGGGGAGTAAGGGTTACCTTTTTTTCTTTTTAAATCTCCATCAGACAAATGTATATTCTGTTTAGCTTTCTTAATTTGAGTAGAATCCTCCTTAGCAAGTTAGACTCCTTCATTTTCAATATAATTCTTCAGCACAGGTATGGAATTAATTATGACAATGACTTACTTTTTCCTGGGCAAAATGATCCCCTGGAATTGAAGTCTTGGGTGAGATAATATAAGAAAAGTTATTCCACTTTCCCACTTAGTGAAGTCTGTTCATCTGATCATTTAACAATCACTAGAAGGAAAAACAAAAAACCAGCGTCATTTAGACAATTTCATATCTGATATCCCTTTAAAGGAAAATTATTTTAATCATTTTAATGATTCATGAAATGAAATACACTTAAAAATATATTCTGGATTCACAGGCAAACACACAGTCAAGTTGGCTCCTCCTCCATGCTGTTAGAAAGAAAGGCACTTTTGGGGCAGCTAGGTGGCACAGTGAATAGAGCTCTGGCCTTGGAGTCAGGAGGACCTGAGTTCAAATCCAGCCTCAGACACTTGACACTTACTAGCTGTGTGACCTTGGGCAAGTCACTTAACCCTGATCATCTCACCAAAAAAAAAGAGAAAAAGAAAGAAAGAAAGAAAGAAAGGCACTTCCCAACAGTACCATGGCTTGGTCCTCTGACACATTTCTGGGTAGGAGTTAACTAAATAGTCCTGCAGGAGAAAAGTTCTACCAATTGAAAAGGGCCTGAGCTATTTCTCCAGAATAGGCTTCAGCCTTGAGGGGCAGGCACCTCAAGGTTGTGCAGTTCTACCAAGGAAAAGTAAAAAGGAAGGGCCAGAGAGGGTTAGCTGAACTAGGTCCAAAAGTAGTCCATCATTATTGGGTGTTTTCCTTGAGACTGAATACAAGGAAATTCTAGACTAGAGAGCCCTCCTCCTTCCCATGATGGTACTAATTTGTCACAGACATGGATTCTTCTGAGGTGAGATAGGTGACTTAGTACTATTAACTAGCAAAGGCAAGCATCTTGCCCTAGGGTAAAAGAATCAATTTGTCATTTGGGGGCAGGTTAAGGATCATATAGTAAGGGGAATTCTAAGGTTGGCATGAGGAGCCCATATGAGTAGGAACAGCTGCCTTGTCCTTAGAGGAATCATATAATCCTGCCCCTTCACAAAATGGCATCATGGCCCCCATGTCCAAGGTGACCAAGGCCTTACCTAAGCTCCACCTTTCTTGTAATACCTTTCTTGTAACATCTTTAACCTGGTTTCCTCACTCCTTTTGGACTATATGATCTCTAATATTCCTGCCAGGCTTAGTATACTGTGAACCTCTAATACAATAAGTGATCTTAGTGAGATGAAAATTATGCAATAGTCCATGGGTTAGGTACTGCTACCAATCACTGAATCAATGGTGCAGAGATAGTGTAACTGCAATATAGCATGTGCTCAGAGTGCAGGGTATGCTGAAAAATTACCAATCATTCAGTGATCCCAGAGCTTCAGTTCTAGTAAAGTTATATTTGAATACATAAGCAGGATGGGGACAATGGAATTTTATAGAAAGGAGGAGGGAAAGATAAGGTTTTATGTACCAGGAAACAAACAACAGAAGGGGAAGATAAGCTGGTCAAATGTGGACCTGAAGTTTATGTCCCAAGGTTGATTTTGCAGACATCAGCAAAAAGTATGACCTGCTTGCTTCAAGCAAACAGCTCAGATTAGAGGCTGGGGCAGTTTTTCTTAGCATAGTGGTGGCAAGAAGCCTGAGTCAGAAATTCTCTTATCACAGTGTCACCTTTGGTTGAAGATTAGATATGAGCATATCAGACCACATTCTTGTACATTTTCTTCTCTGGATATGTTCATATAAGTTTCAGAAAACGTATGCCTGTCAGAACAGGCATTTCCACAGGTATTGGGAGGCTACTAATATAATTGCAGTTATGATGAATCCTTGAAGTATATTTCTTCACCCCATGGAAACATTTGAAAATCAATCACATATATCCTAGTTCTCAAGAGGAAATGGTCTAATCTTGATGCTTTTTCCAATGTGAAGTTAATTAATCCATTAAAATGAAAATTTTTTCCCTGATTTTCTGCTTTCCTTCTGATCTTGGCTACATTTGTTTTATTTGTACAAAATATTTTAATTTAATGTAATCAGAATTAGCCATTTTATACCTCACACTGCCTCTATCTCCTATTCATTCATAAATTGTTCACCTATCAATAAGTCTGATTGGTAATATATTCCATGTTCTTCAAATTTTCTTGTAATCTCTCTCTTTCTATCTAGGTCACATATCCATTTTGATCTCACCTTGAAAAAATGGTGTAAGATATTGATTTCTGCTAGACTGCTTTTCAGTTTTCCCAACAAAGAAATGGAAATTGTGGGGATGTCCATCATTTGGGGAATGGCTGAACAAGTTGTGGTATATGATTAAGATGGTATACTACTGTATTCTACTGAAATGATGAGCTCAATGATCTTAGAAAAACATGGATAGACTTGCATGAAGTAATGAAGTACAAAATGAGCAGAACCAAAAGAATGTTATATATAGTAACAACAATATTGTTTTAAGAACAACTTTGAGCGAGTAACTCATTTTTACTATTATAAATACCCAAATTAACCAGAAAAGACATTAAGGAAGATGCTATCTGCATCCAGAGAAAGAACTGATAAATATAAGTATGTATATAATGGTTTTATATATGTGTATACACACACACACACACACACACACACACATATTTGTGCCTAATGAAAGCTATCTCTAGAGCAGGGGAGGTGGGGGGGAGAAGGAAGGAAAAAAGTTACATGATAGCTTTATCACATATTTAAAAGGAATAGCAAGTTATACATAATAGATTTGCTGTTTCACATACAATCAACTTTTTCCTTTTCTACTGTTAGAGAAATGTTTGTTTTATTTCCTAAGCTCAAAATAAAATAAATAAAATTTTAAATGGTAAAACTTTTACACTTTTATCACATCATATCTTTATTCTACCATTCCTTTAAAGATATATTATCCTCATATCATTCAGAAAAGATGTAATACTGTATAGACCTAACACATGAATATATAACTATTAAACAAATAAGCAAGAAGATGGCAAGCCCAAGAACTAATTTTTCTTATAAACCTAGATTAGGAAGTTGAGAAAAGTAATGGTCACAAATTTAGAACAGTAAAATCAAAGCAATAAGGTTCTTTATACTTACATTCCATTATAGCAGTTCAGAGATGCTTGATGATTGTAACAATAAGATCTATTATAGAACATTTGCAATTTTCTTGTGTGGTCAGAGAAATTTGCTACGAAAGGAGGAAGGAAACAGTTATAACAAGGCTGACCTATTGTACATGTACCCAGACATATTCCCTTACCTCTGTTTGATTTCAGGTAAAAGTCACAGATATCTTTTGGAACAGCCAGTCATGCAACAGAAGTCCTCGTTATTCACAGGGTATTATAGCCAGGCTCAGGAAGGAAATATTCCTGTTCAGAAAGTAAATCGCACAGTAAAGAAACTGAGTCAGGAGGATACTGCCATTACCTTCATAAAACTATCTTCTCAACCTTCCCAGTCATTTACATCCATGTATATTTTCCAGAAGACACTGTTAAAAACATGTGTGTGTGTGTGTGTGTGTGTGTGTATTTCCATTAAGTTCAATTCAATAATGCTTATTAAATGCTTACTATATGTAAGGCACCATACTAGGTGCTGGAGATACATTAAAAATGACAAAAGCTCTGCTCTCTAGAAGTTTATAATGCAAAGTTTGCAGGGATATGGAGAGAGAATAAGAGCAAAAATAGTATAGTCTAATCACCTGCCTTCATCAGTGGACTTTACTGTTCTTCTGCCTGGGTTCATTCCCCAGTAGTTAGTATACTCCCATACACACTCTTTCATTCTCCTCAAACCCTAGCAGCTAAAGAACAAACCACCTTCCTCAATCTCAGCTATATACTCACTCATTCACTTAAATCATATCTTGATAATGACCCACTCCAGATCTGCCCATCCTTTCCACAATACCCTCTGCAATGTCTGCTCCATAGGCAAATATCTTTCATCTTAAACTCTTAGTTTCACACTCTTTCCACCATTAGCACTCCCCTTAAACCTGGCTCCAGGGGTCTGCTGGAGCCATCTCTCATCAGCTTACTAGAGCCTATTGCTAAATTTATAGTGTGAACATTTACACCTCAGAAATCCACAATTATAACAAATTAGGGTTTGATTTATTGTTTTTCTGATTTCTAGACTTAAGAAAGTGTTAATAACACAGATTAAATTTAAGTATGCATACATTTTTTAACCTTGAGTTAATTTATTAAACATTTATCAGCACACCCCTATATTGCTCAGTTACCATTGATTGAGCTCAGCAAGGGGTGCATTAGAAGGCTCTGAAATTAAGTCATCACCAGGCTAGAGTAATAATGATGATGATGATGATAGTAATAATGATGATGACAACTCACATATATATGTATGCAAAGTACTTTACATCCATTATTTCATTTGAACTTCACAAAACCTGTTTGACTTCCTCCTAATGACAATGCCTTCCTTGCCACACTTCCAAGTACAGGTTGCATTTTCACTGGTATCCTTTGACCAACTGATTGTACTGGTGGAATTAGAATACTTCTTACTCTTTCAGGGCCATTTCTTTTACAACCATTACTAAGAAACTGCTCCTTTGAGGTTAATCCAACCCAAATTTGTCACCCAATCCAAATTCTGATAGCTGTTACTTTCCTATACCCCGTATGTTCTCCATCCTTTCTCAGTGAGTTCAGCATCAGGCTCACACTTTTCCTCTCTACTCTAACTCCACACTTCTCCTCACTACTTTAATTTCTTTCTTCATTCTAGTAGATTTCTACATACGTGATAATGTTCTCTGAAATACCCTCCTTTCCACCTCAGCTACACATAAGTCATATCTTTGACTTTGATATCACCCACAATTGTTTTGCTTCTATTTTTAAGAACCCTGAATTTCCCCTGATTATAATGTTTATCTTTCCATCTCTCCCTATGCCTCACCCCTTCTAAACCTACACCAGAACCTCTAATTCCTCTCAGTATTCTTTGATGCTGTCATCCCTACTCTGTCTATAATCACCTCCCTTCCAGTGTTCCATGTTCATAACTTCAGCACTATGCTGGATCCTTCATTTTCCCTCACCCCATACATCCCATCACTTGCCAGATCATTCTGTTTCTACCTTTACCACACCTCTATAATCTGACCCTTTCTCTACCTCCCTTAGTTCTGGCCCTCATCATCTCTCACTTAGATTATTGCAACAGCCTACTAATTGGCCTTCCACAAGTCTCTCTTTGTTCCAGGCCAACATTCATATTGCTGCCAAAGTAATTTTCCTAAATTAAAATCTGAACACTACTCCCTATTCAATCAATGCCAGTGACTTCCTTGTGCCTTGCTGCTATCATGGTGTTTGAGAAAACTGCAAATACAGCATCTGGTTGTCTCAGTAAATATCTGGGAATAGCAATAATTTTGAACCTACCAAAAAGGCTAAATTCAGGTAACTAGAACTTGGGCAAAGCCTCTATGCTATTGAGCATTCTGGGACAGAGAGATACAGTTCTTGGACATACCTAACAGTATTAGGCATCATGCTGGACCACGAAAGTCTATGGAAATTTGTTAGACTGGGTATGACAGAAGAAAGATTTACAAGTGTCTCTGCACAAAGGATAGGGTAGGTAAAGTATACTGCCAAGGTAAGTGAACTTGTGCACAGGATTCAAAATTTCTCCATTTGTATTTGTAGCAACTCCAATGCAGTTGCTGTAAAAGAACCATACCACCAAGCTCATTTCCAAATGTGAAAGTAGCTGGACAGTTTGTTCCCACCTCACTCGGTTCTTCTCACTGTTATGCTGGTTCCTACTCCTCATAGATGTACCATCCCCTTGCCTCCTACATGGATTCCAACTCCTGGACCCAAGGGTTCTCCTTTGACCTTTCAAACTCACAAATTCATAGCTATCTCTAATACTCTTTCACTTAAGAGCAAGAAAGTACTAATGCAAAGAGGCAAAGAATAGAGGCCCATATTCAAAGAGGGTTCAAAGTCTGTTCCTCCCTAGAGACTTTTCAGTCTTCCGTACTTGAACCAGCCAGACAGGAAAGAGAGACGAGTAACCCTCATGAGAGTCTTTTGTCTGCGTCAGTTCTGATTCAGTGGCCAACTCAAAAGGCATATTTCCTCCCTGAGGAGAACAGACCAGAAAGAGTCAAGATACTTGCCCATGCTCTGATCTAGGGATCATGGTCCTTCCATTCTACGTCATCACACCTTTCTAGCCTCTACCACCCTGTTGGCAACTGGAAGAGCACCCTGCACATGCTCTGAGGACAGTGCTTACATTGGCTAGTCTCTAATAGGTTTTAGGAATGGCCTCAGTGACCAAAAGGGAAAGGACTAGGAGTTCTTAAGGAGGCAGCTATGGAAGAAACAAAATTTTTGTAGTGAAAAAGTAAATCAGCCTGTGGGGAGGGGGGTTATTATGCAGTAGGCCACAAGAATGGCCTCAGTGCTGATATTGGAAGGAGAAAAGAAGGAAGGCAAAGATCAAGAAAGCCTAAGATAGGAGACCTCAGTGAGGGAATATTTGTGAATGCTCTGAATGGGAGAGGAGTGTGGGTGCATTCCATTATGTTTCATCATACCTCTCCAGAAGCAGGTCCTTTGCCCCCCTAGTTTATTTTCTGCTTGTAGGGAACATTTCAATATCAAGTTACATATACACCTATGATTTATACTATTTGCAGAAAATAAGAGATAATGAAGTAAAGCAGTGTTCCTGTGTGGCAAATAGTGAAACATGAACTGTTTGAAATATAAAACAGTATCTTTAAAACACAGAGCATTCTTAAAGCACTAATAAGGGCCAAGCACTGGGAATACAAATATAATAATAGTCCTTATCACTAAGTACCTTACATTCTAAAAGAGGAAGACAAAACATGAAAGGAAGCTCAAAAAGAAGGGGGTAATAGAAGAGAGTGGTCAAAGAGCTGGTAGGGAGGTGGAGCAGTCTTGTTTATGAAGGATTAAGAATAGTACTGTTGAAAAAGTAAAATGATAAATGCTGTGGAAAAAAACAGGCATTGTTAGTGGGCCAGCCATTCTGAAATGCAATTTGGAATTATGCCTCTGAAGTAATTAAACTGTGAATACCCTTTGGTTCAGTGATACTACTACTATGTTTATGTTCCAAAAAGATCAAAAAAAAAAAGAGGAAAAAAAATTTTTATAGCAGTTCTTTTCATATTGGCAAAGAATTGGAAACTGAAAAAGTGCCTAAAAATTGGTAAATGACTGAACAACTTATGATATATAAGTGTGATGGAATACTCATACTATAAAAATTAATGAAAGGGATGGTTTCAGAGAAACCTGGGAAGACCTGTATAAACTGATACAAAGTGAAGTGAGCAGAACCCAGAGAACAATTTATATTATAACAACAATATTGTAAAGACAAACATTTGAAAGGCTTAAGAATTCTGATCAACACAATGACCAACCACAATTTCAGAAGGTTTGTGATGAAAAATGCCATCCACCTACAGATAGGAAAGTGCAGATTGAAGCATATGTTTTATCAAGATGGCTAATTAGAAAATTTGTTTTGCTCAACTATGCATATTCATAACAAGTTTTATTTTTCTTGCTTTCTCAATAGGTAGGGAGAAGAGAGATAATTCAAAGTTGTTTAATTCACTGCAGAAAATGTTTCTGCCTTTCAGAGAAACTGAGTCCATATATCCAATGGAATGACAGCCTATGGCTATATTACACACTGGGTAATACTTCATATATTATTACCTTTTATTTAATTCTGTTAAATGCTATTGCAGTGAGAAAAAAAGAATGGTATTGATACATCAGTTCCATGAGTATTCCTGTAACATTTTGTTTCATTATATTTAATTAAATGTTATAATATTAATTAAGGAACTCTGTCAAACTATGTTAGAAAATAGTTGCTGATCTGCATTGCTAGAGGGAATTTCATCACTGGTGGCTTCTCCTATACCAGGCTTTGGCAAACTACCATTACTACTATGCATAGGGCTCCATGGATCAAATCCAGCCTACTATTTGTTTTTGTAAGGTCCATGAGCTGAGAATGGTATTTACATTTTTAAATAAAGTCTTATGGGAACACAAGCACATACAGAGAAAGAACTATAAATAGCCATGATTTTAGAAACCTGATTCTTAAACCAAACCCCACACTGCCAGGGAGCTCTTCCACCCAAAGCCAAGATTGAGTTTCCAGGTAATGTGACAAATTTTTTAAAGCAAGTAATTGGTGTTTTCTCTATAACAACATGTGCCAATGATTATCAAAGAGAAGAAACATTAACAGCAAATAGATTGGTGTATGTGAAATGCATATTAAGAATGACTAAAATTTAATATACAATGCTAAAGTAAAGGGAATTGTTGATGTTATTGTCTAGATCAGGAGTGGGGAACCTGCAGCCTCGAGGCCACATATGACCTTCTAGGTCCTAAAGTGCTGCACTTGAGGCCCTAAGGGTCACATGTGGCCTCAAGGCCCCAGGTTCCCCCTTCCCCGATCTAGATAATTCAGACCAAAAAAAATTTTTTTGAAGGTTTCTTCCCCCCATTCCTTTCAGGGGACACAGTGTGGTAGATAGAGTGCTACACATAGAACCAGGAGAACCTGGGTTCCGTGTCACCTCTGACATTCATTAGCCATGTGATCCTGGGTTCGTCACTTCATTTCTTTTCTCCAGGCTGAGTTTCCCCTTCTAGAAATGATAGATAATCATACTTATAGTACACACTTCACAACACAACCTTGTTATGAAGGTCAAATGAGATAAGGTATATAAAGCACTTTGCAAACTCTGAAGCATTGTATGAATAATAATAATAATAATATTTTATATACAACCTACTATGTACCAGGCACTGTGCTAAGTGCTTTTAAAAAATACCGTCTCAGGGGCAGCTAGGTAGTGCAGTGGATAGAGTATCAGCCCTGGAGTCAGGAGGTCTTGAGTTCAAATCCAGCCTCAGACACACAACACTTGCTAGCTGTGTGACTCTGGGCAAGTCACTTAACCCCACCCACCTCACCACAAAAAAAAAAAATAATAATAATATTAATATCATCTCATTTGATTCTCACAACAACCTTGGGAGATAAGTACTATTATTATTCTCATCTTACAGATGAGGAAACTGAGGTAGATGGAGGTTGACTGACTTCCCCAGGGTCACATAACTAGTAAAGATAAATTATTATTTGAGAGTGGGGCAGGAAAGGTATTAAAATGACCAGACTATTTCCTTGAATCTTTACAATACTGAAGTAGTTCTGGTTGATGGAACAGACAATGCCCTGAAGGAATTTTGGAAAAAGATCAAACTGACTATCTTAATGCCAAAGAAAGCTTTCCATTAACTTACTGGGAAATTATCTGAAATGTACAAATGTGGCTGTATGTATTTTTAACTCAAATTTCTTGTTCTATTGGGGTTTCTAAATCTGCCTCTCCAACTGTACTGTAGACCCTTATCTACTTTAGCTTCAAAATATTTGCTGATGGAATGCTGGAGGACAGAGATTGTGGTTTTTACACATTTGGTTTTTAAATATTTTAAGAATTACAGATCCGCGATTTTAACTATGTGAGTATGCCCTTGACCAATGCAGATTCCAGATGCCCCACAATAAATAATTTCCTGAGTTACTCTGACCAAAAGAAAACTGTAGTCCGTGGCCAACCCCTGGAGGATGAATCTGTCCAAATGTAGCTAAGCTGGTTCTCAAGTGTTGGATCCAAACTGAGAATCTTTCTGGTTTGTTAGGATCTAGCAGAGTTGGAAACCCCATGCCATCACCGTCAGAGCCTAGGATTACCTTTATTCCAGTGACACGGCATGGGTATAGGACTTTGTTGGTGGTATTGGTGAGTGATTTTTCAGTCGTGTTTGACTCTTCATGACACACCCCATGTGGGGTTTTCAATGCAAGGATACTGGAGTGGTTTGCCGTTTCCTTATCCAGCTCATTTTACAGAGGAGAAACTGAGGTAAATAAGGTTAAATTACTTGCCTAGGATCACACAGCTGGTGGGTGTCTGAGCCAGATTTCAATTCATGAAGAGGAGTCTTCTTGAGTCCAGGTTCAGCACTATATCCACTGAGCCACCTTGCTGCCATATAGGACTTTCATGAAGGAGTATTTGTACATGTAGCCTTAAGTAAGTGAGCTATTTAGCATATTTAAATTAATTTTGAATTTCGTAAATATTATCCAAAGTGTTAATAAGGCATACTTTATTAAGGTACAACTCCCTCAAAAATATTTCTAAAATAATTTGATCTGGTTTCACTGAATGTTTCAAAATCTTGGGAAGTATTGCTTTAGAGCAGCAATTCTCAAACTTTTTGGTCGCAGGACTCTTTATAATCTTAAAAATTATTTATGATCTCCTAAAAAGCTTTGGTCATGTGTGTTATATCAATCAATATTTACCATGTTAGAAATTAGACCCTTATCAGAGACACTGGTTGTAAAAATTCTTTCCCAGTTTTCTGCTCCCCTTCTAATCTTTGTTGCATTGGCTTTGCGCAAAATCTTTTCAATTTAATGCAATCAAAATTATCCATTTTGCATTCCATAGTATTCTCTATTTGGTCACAAATTCTTCTGTTCTCCATAAATCTGACAAGTAAACTATTCCTTACTCTCCCAATTTGCTTATAGTATCAGTTTTTATATCCAAATTATGAACCAATTTTGACTTTATTTTGGTATACGGTGTGAGATTTTGGTCAATGCCTGGTTTCTGCCATACTCTTTTCCAGTTTTCCCAGCAGTTTTTGTCAAATAACAAGTTCTTATCCCAGAAGCTGGGGTCTTTGGATTTATCAAATAGTAGATTACTATAATCATTGACTACTGTGTCTTGCATACCTAACCTATTCTACTAATCCACCACTCTATTTCTTAGCCAATACCAAGCAGTTTTCATGATTGCTGCTTTATAATACAATTTAAGATCTGGGAAAGCTAGGCCACTTTCCCCTGCATTTCTTTTCATTAGTTCCTTTGATATTCTGGACCTTTTGTCATTCCAAAGAAATCTTGTTATTATTTTTTCTAGCTCTACAAAATAATTTTTTGGTGGCTTGATTGGTATGGCACTGAATAAGTAAATTAGCTTAGGCAGAACTGTCATTTTTTTTATATTAGCTCAGCCTACCTGTGAGCAACTGATGTTTTTCCAATTATTTAGATCTGACTTTATTTGTGTGAAAAGTGTTTTGTAATTGTGTTCATAGAGTTCCTGGGTTTGTTTCGGTAGGTAGACTCCTAAATATTTTATAATGTCTACAGTAAGTTTAAATGGAATTTCTCTTTCTATCTCTTGCTGTTGGGCTTTGTTGGTAATATATAGAAATGCCGATGATTTATGTGGGTTCATTTTATAGCCTGCAACTTTACTAAAGTTGTTTATTATTTCAAGTAGTTTCTTACTGGATTCTCTAAGTATATCATCATATCATCCACAAAGAGTGATAGCTTTGTTTCTTCTTTGCCTATTCTAAAACTTCAATTTCTTTTTCTTCTCTTATTGCTAAAGCTAACATTTCCAGTACATATTGAATAACAGTGGTGATAATGGACATCCTTGTTTCACCCCCATCTTATTGGAAATGCTTCTAGCTTGTCCCCATTACATATGATGCTTGCTGAAGGTTTTAGATAGATGCTACTTATTATTTTAAGGAAGACTCCATTTATTCCTATGCTTTCTAGTGTTTTTAATAGGAATGGGTATTGTATTTTGTCAAAAGCTTTTTCTGCATCTATTGAGATGATCATGTGGTTTCTGTTAGTTTTGTTGTTGATATAATCAATTATGCTGATAGTTTTCCTAATATTGAACCAGCCCTGCATTCCTGGTATAAATCCTACCTGGTCATAGTGCATTATTCTTGTGATAAGTTGCTGTAATCTATTTGCTAATATTTTATTTAAAATTTTTACATCTATATTCATTAGGGAAATTGGTCTATAATTTTCTTTCTCTGTTTTGATTCTTCCCGGTTTAGACATCAGCACCATATTTGTATCATAAAAAGAATTTGGTAAGACTCCTTCTTCAGCTATTTTCCCAAATAGTCTATATAGTATTGAAATTAATTGCTCTTTAAGTGTTTGATAGAACTCCCTTGTAAATCCATCTGGCCCTGGAGACTTTTTCCTAGGGAGTTCATTGATGACTTGTTCAACTTCTTCTTTCTGAGATGAGATTATTTAAGTTTTTTATTTCCTCTTCTGTTAATCTGGGCAATTTATATTTTTTATAAATATTCATCCGTTTCACTAAGATTGTCAAATTTATTGGCATATACAGTTGGGCAAGAAAGTGCCTAATTATTGTTTTGATTTCTTCTTCATTGGTGGTGGATTCACTGTTTTCACTTTTGGTACTGGTAATTTGGTTTTCTTCTTTCTTTTTTTTAATTAAATTAACCTATGATCTCCCAAAAAGCTTTTTTCAAGTGTGTTATATCTATCACATTAGAAATTAAAAGGCCTTAGTATTATTATGAAAATTGTTCTTACTTCCTAGACCTTTTGAAAATGTCTTAAGGATTATCAGGCGTCCCCTAACGAGAACTGCTGTTTTAGAGACTACAGCAAGCTAACATCACATCCCCTGGAAAAATAACAGGTCAAAGAATATTAAACATTGAAAGGAAAATATCATGTATAACAATGATAAGAATGTAAATAAAGACAATAATAAAAGTAATTGAACACAGATCAAATGCAGTGATCAATAATGACTCCAGTTGGCTGATGCTGGCCATCCTTCTAAATGGCACAGTGGATAAACACTGGGCCCGGAAACAGGAGAATTTGAGTTCAGATATGGCATCAAACATTTACTTCTGTCTGCTTTAGTGTCCTCACTTGTAAAATGGGAAAATTAATAGCACTTACCTCCGAGGATTGCGTCAATGAGGGCCTATTGGCACATAGCAGGAGCTTCACAACTATTTGTTTCCTTCCTCTCAGAAGACTACGGAGAAAGAATGTATATGTTCTGTTAGTCGTGGTTGCTGTATTGGATCATTTAGCTGAAGTATTTTTTTGTTGTTATAAGGGAGGGTGCCATAAGGGTGGTGGTGTTTATTGGAAGGTCTGGTATGAAAAACAAAGTTCATCCATAAAACATAATAATCATAATAATGGGCAGACAGGAGTAGTACAGAGAGTGACCTGGGAGTGAGGAAGTCTTTAAATCAAGTCCTTTCCCTGACACATACTTGCTTTGTGATCTTGGGACAACTTAACCCTTTCGTATGGAGAACTCCCCTACTGGACCCAGCTGTCCTGATTGGTGAATACCCAGCTCCCCAGATCTAGGGTTCCCAGCCATGTTTTACTTTATTCCCTGAACATCTACTCACCAGACATTTTGCTGTCCAGACCAGAGACTATATCCTGCAGTATTTACCCTCTGCACCTCTCCTGGAGCATGTTTTATATTTCTGAGAATGAACAAATCAATATTGCCTGGGTTACTGGAAAGGCTCTATCATTCTTCTCCCATAGCAGTCTACTCCCCTGTGCCTCTGCTCACTATTCTGGTGACTTTTTAAAGCAAAACACCCTCCTCTAGATACTACTTCCTTGTATGTGTTACCTACTTTTATTACAATGTCAGCTCCTTGAGAGTGTTAAGGGAGAAATATCTCCTCTTTGAGTTTATGTGGTAGGTTACTGATGATAAAATAAATCTATCACAACCCAGAAATTATAGAAGTAAAAACCTAAGTCTTATTATGCTTAAGCACTGGTTCAGAATTCAGAAAAAATATTTTGAACCCAGATTGGAGTTTCTGACAAGTTTTTATAGAGATGATTATGCTAGAGAGACAAAGAAATAAATTTTTTTACATATTGCAATCTCATACATTCTTTTAGGTGTAAAAGTTTAAAAAAAAGATTCATAATCCCATAATGTCATAAAAGTTCAACAAACTTAATTAAACAGAATCATAATCTCATACATTCCTTAAGGAAGCAAATCTGGTTAAACAAACTCTATATACAAACTAAGTCAGGTTACAGATTAAACTGCAATTAGAGGGTTCACAATGAGCTGAGTCAGAGGAGAGATTTACATGCCTACAGAGTCTGCTGCAGTAGAATCCCTTCAGAAATAATTAAATCACCTTGAGAAACTCAAAACTCCTCTTTGGCTTCTTATTGTCAAAAAGTCTTCCCTTATTATTATCATTCCATGAGTCAGATTTTAGCTGTATGTGGTTAAACCAAAGTATTCCAGGAGGAATGGCATAATAACAATTAGTAAAAGGAAATGGAAAATAAAAAATATCATCTCAATGGCAGGGACTGTCTTTGCTTTTGTATTTGTATGCCCAGCATATGACATAGAGCTTGACACAGAAACACAATATTTTTTTTTCCATTCATACTTAATCTCTTAATGCCCCCAGGGAACTCTCTTAGATCATAAATTATAGGATCTGGTTTGGTTGAGGGAGTTTCCTCAATCAATCTAACAACCAGCATTTATTAAGTATCCTCTGCAAAGCAGAATTGAAGTAGCTCAAAAGAAAGGCAAGATGGAAATTTAGAGAATCCACCCCTAACGTTCACGTGAACTATTTGTGCCCGACCTGTGTGTGATACAGCATTCCAAGCTCCTATTGGTCTGATCAGCCACAGTCAGAGGCACTGAAACTTGACTCTAACATAGTGATGTCATTTTGGCCCTCTTTGAGAACGAATTGGGGCAGCTAGGTGGCACAGTAGATAGAGCATCGGCCCTGAAGACAGAAGGACCTGAGTTCAAATACCTGAGTTCAAATCCAACCTCGGACACATAACACTCACTAGCTGTGTGACTCTGGGCAAGTCACTTAACCCCAATTGCCTTATCAAAAAGAGAGAGAGAGAGAGAGAGAGAGAGAGAGAGAACAGAGGACAACAACCAGCCAAGTACTTACTATGTGCTAGGCGCTGTACTTGGTGCTTGGGATAGAAAGACAAAGCTCCTTACCAAAAAAAAAAAATCACAGATTAATCACATGATTAATAATGGCAATGATAGGATAACTAAACAGATGTGTAAATAAATAACAAATATCCTTTGCAGATGTAAACTATTTATCTAAAGTTAGAAGTAACAAGAAATAGTTACTAGAAGGACAACCTTGGAGTCCAGGCAAAAAAGCTCAAGCTTTGCCTCTGACACATACTGGCTGTGTGACTTAACCTTTTTATGCTCTTAGCTGATTCTAATGGAAAAAAATTACTTATCTTTATTTGTGGAGGGCTTTTACATACCATACCTACATGGGTAGAACATAGATCTGGAACAACAAGAAAGAAAGAAAGGAAGAAAGAAAGAAAGAAAGAAAGAAAGAAAGAAAGAAAGAAAGAAAGAAAGAAAGAAAGAAAGAAAGAAAGAAAGAAAGAAAGAAAACAGAATTTTTAAAAAAAGGTAAAGGTATAAGAAATGATGAACAGGCTGACTTCAGAAAAACCTGGAAAGACTTGTATGGTCTGGCAGATTGAAGCATACTATTTGCTATTTTTTCTCTCCTACTGAGTTTTGTTTCATCTTTTCTGGTGGTTCCTCCTATTGGTTCTAATTCTTACTTACAACATCACTAATGTGAAAATATGTTTAATAGGAATATATATGTATAGTCTCTATTAGATTGAGCACGACCTTAGTGAAAGAGGTGGGGAGAGAGGGGGAGAAAAAAATTAAACTCAAAAGCATATGGAAGTGATTATTGATAAATCAAAATAAATTAATAAAATAAAATAAATTAAAAAGGTAAGGGAATGTGATAGAGCAGTAAATAAAAGGGGACCTCCTTCCTCCTCTGACTACTGATCTCTCTGACTTCCCTTAAATGCCAACTAAAATCCCACATTTTCTACAGGAAACCTTCCCTAGCACCTCTTAATTCCAGAGCTTTCTCTCTTTTAATTATTTTTAATTACCCTATATGCAACTTACCGTATATATAATTGTTTGGATGGTGTCTCTTCCTTTAGATTGTAAGCTCCTTGAAGGCAATGACTGTCTTTTGCCTCTTTTTGTACCCCAAATGCTTAGCACAGTGGTTGGCACTTGGTACACACTTAATAAATGTTTATCAATTGATTGATTTAGTAAATGTTCTTGTTTATAGAGAAGGGGATAGAAAGCAATCATCACGTCTCTAATTAGTCTGGGAAGGCTTTATGGAAGATCCTATACATAACTTTAGCCTGTAGACAGCTTGTTTGTATGTAATTGTTTTTATGTGGTCTGCCCCATCAGATGTGAGCTCCTTAAGAGGAGGGACTATCTTTTGACTTTTTTTTTTTTTGGTATCACTGTCGCTTAGCCTGGCATGTATTAGGTGTCTAATAAATTTTTACCGACTTAGCGAAACATCAGTAAAGTGTCCTAGTGGATAGAAACTTGGATTTGGAATCAAGAAAACCAGTGTCCAAATCTTGCCTCAGAGCATTACTAGCCATGTGACCCTGGGCAAGTCACTTAACCTCTCTCAGCCTCAGCCTCCTCCTCTGTAAAATTATGTAAATGATGGCACCTACCTCAAATGGTTGTTGTGAAGATCAAATGAGATAATGTGAATAAAATGCTTTGAAAAATTTGAAGCATTCTATAAACATTAGCTATTAGATATTCTAGTAGTTGCTGAAAGAATAAAGTAAAGAATGCCAAGACAAGAAAAGGAAGAGTTAGGGGCAGCTAGAGCTCTGGCCTTGGAGTCAGGAGGACCTGAGTTCAAATCTGGCCTCAGACACATGACACTTACTAGCTCTGGAAGAAGAAGAAGAAGAAGAAGAAGAAGAAGAAGAAGAAGAAGAAGAAGAAGAAGAAGAAGAAGAAGAAGAAGAAGAAGAAGAAGAAAGAAAAGGAAGAGCTCCCAACCCAAAAAAGGTCTCATTTAAAAAACAAACCAAAAAAAAAAAACTTGGAAGCAGGAGTGGTCTGGTCAGACAAAGGTTATATGGAGTACCATCTTGGGAAGCAAAGTATTGCCAAACATGGTTGGCATTGCCAAGAAAGAAATTTGAACCCCAGAGAAAAATAAATCATTTTAACTCTTCCTTTACTTCAGTAATAGTGTTATCCTCACTTTCAGATGGAGAAAGTGAAGCATAGATTGGTCAGGCAACTTTGCTCAAGGTGAAAAAAGAAGAATAGTCAGGAGCAATCTGCTCATTTACAGGTGAGGGAAGTGAGGCCCAGACTGACTTAGTGAAGTGACTTAACCAGAGTCACACAGTTAGTGAAGTAACCAATACTGACATCTGGCCCAGGATTCTTTCCATTATTCCTCAGCAAGGACCTGGCAGAAAGCTTACAGTGTCACTTCAGTGTGTAAATTAAGGAGCTCAGGAAAGGGATTATGTTTATTTAACTCCTTAATATACAGCATATAGGGCTGAGAAGAGAGGACACTTAACAACTGACTAATTTTAGCTGACTGGCAAAAAAGTGAGAGTCGAGAGCAGAAGTTCCATTGAGAAATAGACTATAAAGGTTTAATTTAATACGGCTTTTGTGATTTCTATCCCACTTTGAAACCCATTTCTCAAGACTTAAAACAAGTGAATCATATTACCTCTCTATTACTATTGAGAAACCCTCAAAAGCATCGAACCATGATGGAGAGCAACTCTTTTTTTTGTTTGTTTGTTTGTTTTTGGTGAGGCAATTGGGGTTAAGTGACTTGCCCAAAGTCACACAACTAGCGAGTGTTATATGTCTGAGGCTGGATTTGAACTTAGGTCCTCCTGACTCTAGGACCAGTGCTTTATCCACTGCACCACCTAGCTGCCCCTGAAGAGCAACTCTTTTAAACAAATTGAGGTGATAAAAAATTATCCAACCTACAATAAGAGAAACTGAGGCAGAGCTCTGGGCCAATGGCTTTTTATTAAAGGGTCCATGGTCACCTCTAATGAAGTGGACCTCAGATCTTCCTCATGATCACAGGATCACACAGCTAGTAGTTCTTTAAGGCAAGATTTAGATGCTGGTTTTCTTGATTCCAGGTTTCTATCCATTACAACACTTGACATTTCAGTAAATCAGTAAAAATTTATTAGACACCTACTACCTACCAAGCAGAGCAATGGTGATACCAAAAAAAAAAAAAAGCTCCCTCCTTCCAGGGCCCAATTTTTATAGGATTAAAAATCTGAACATTCAAGAACAGCTATATTAAATACAGAATAATTCCGTTGGTTGACATATGATGCATAGACTAAAATAAGCAAACAATATATCAGCAGGGTGACAGGTTAGCGAAGCAAGGAATATCTCCACTGAATAGGTGGTCATAACATGGACACCTGCTCATGTTGGACAAGAGAGAACAGTCTAGAGGTACAGAAATAAGTTTGGGGAACTTCTCTTGTAGTTGAGTCACCTCCACCATACAGGGCTTGGTCACCATGACCAGGAAAAACAAGGGCGGGGGGCCTCTGGTTAACTTCCTAAGATTAAGCAAGTGAACTTACAATCTGCAGCTCACAGCTCTGGAGCCAAATACACAGAACTTATGATCACTACTCTTACAGAATCATAATTAGCTGACTAATACTGATTAGAGTTTGAGTTGGGGTCCTCAAGGAATCAACTTTCTCATTCCCCACTTCGATCCACAAAAAGACCCCAGTGTTTCTTTGGATCATGACAATCTAGATGCATGGAGGGCAGTCCTCCATGTGTGAAGCAAGACCAGCAGGCAGCTGTCCCCTCACTGAGGCACAAAGGTGATAATAGTAAAGAGGAAAATGGGCACACCTTATAACATACTGATTATCTTCCATTTGATTAAATAATAACTTGTACTATACTAAATGTAACAATAAATGTCTGAGGTGAACCTCTCACTAGCAAAATGGGAGACTGTATGCAGTTACTTCAAGTGCAGCAATGCAAACATTGTTTGCCCTACATATAGGTTCTGGAAATCTTTTGAGTTTATGAAAACAGTTCAAGCAATTTTAACAAACAGCTCCCCCATTATGAGGATGAGATGTAAGATCCTTGCAGACAACACAAACAGATATAGATAGCTGTAACATAGGGAGTGAGGGAAAATAAGGAATAGAATGAGTTCCATGAAGAAAGGAATTCAAAGTGTTATCAGTCATTGCTGTCAGTGGTGGAGCAAAAGCCAGAGTAGAAAACTGAAAAGAAGGTTTTGAGGTTCAAGTCACTGCAGGCTCAAGAACAGGTAGGTGAGGAACTACTTGTGAAGAGGACGATGATGATAAAGAATCCCATCTCATACAGTCGTCCTGTCTTTGAAACATCCTCTGATACAATCCTATGGTCATCTGGAGATCTCTCCTCCTAGAAATACCGGAAGCTTCAGAGCAGCTTCTAGTGTATTTGATTCTCCAGTTCAGGTCACTTGCAGAGCTCCCCTTCTCTGTTAAATACCTCTGACAAAATAGATCTAAATACAATTCTAATTTGCTATGACAATAACCAGGTGAGGTAGTGAGAGCCAACTCAAAACTTAATAGCACTAATATGAACATCACTAGCAGAGAATTTACATTTTTAAGTTGGCAAATTCAAATAAGAACTAAAAAATTAAAAACAAATTCTGAACCCAGATTTTATATTTGGCATATACAATTACCTAATCTTGTTACAATTATTTATTAAAACCAACTGAAAAATTATCACTCTAGCTATTTTCTTTTCTAGCTATTTTCCTTTAGCTGCTCATCCCTCCCCTAGAAGAATCAGATTCTGGTAGAGAATTATTAACAGAACACTTTTGTGTTTTGGGCGAAGCAATGGAGTTAAGTGACTTGCCCACGGTCACACAGCTACTGTGTTATGTGTCTGACGATGGATTCGAACTCAGGTCCTCCTAAATCCAGGGCTGGTGCTCTATCCATTGTGCCACCTAGCTGCCCCAGAACACTTTTTAAAAATAAGATGATGACCCCTGATACACAACTAAATTCATTTAAAGTTTGTCAAATAATTGTGATTGCAAGAAAAAATTCTGGGATGGGATGTATAAATGCACTAAGTGGTCAATTTCAAGACAGTACAGATCAAATAAGTTATTTATAATAAAACATGTTTGCCTTTCAAGACATGCTCAACATCTAAGTGGTAATAAAAACCCATTTTTATTCCCATTTAGGCAACACAAGGTAGCCTAACATTCTTTTCTTCAAACCAAAACTGAACAACAATTCGGTCCCATAAACTGTTCCATCAATACCCAATTATCCTCACGTTAATTTTTAGAAGGACTAAAATAATTCAAATCTTATCTCCAGTATTAATCTATGAAACTTCAGACAATTTTAAGTGTTGCAACATGAGGGCCTGAATAGGAAAATGAGTCTTTGTCTCTCTTAATGTTATTCAATAGATGTTTCAAATAATTTTTATGCATAAAATTCTTAATCCAATTTTGAAAATCGTGTCACATCTCCTACTAATGATATTATCATGATGAAAGAACGTTATAGGGTAGTCTCTAATTCAAAATGATCCCTCACTAGCATATATTACTTAATTAAAAATCACCTATAGGGTTCGTCTTCTTTTACACTTTCCCTTGCCAAGGGAATTTGCTATGTGAGAAAGGCAGAGACATAATGGCATTCATTCTGTTTGATTTCAGGTATGAGTCATATGCAGCCAATTGTATGACAGGATGCCATAGCCAGCCTCAGAATTAGGCAACTGGGAAAGTTTCTTATTTACCCAGATGGGGACAGGTCAAGAGAATCCTACTTTCACCTTCCTGAGGTGAAATTCTCTTGACTTTCCCAGGTATAGCCATCCACCTATGGCTGTCCTCAGACTTCAGGGGCACATGGCATTTCCTTTGAATGATGAACCCTTACACTTGGATTCAAGACTTCGAATAGAAGCAAATTGAAGTCCCAAGATACTCTTCTTCAAACAGCAACTAATTGCAGCTCAGAGTTAGATAATTATTATTTCTCTTATATATTAGCCTCTTATCTAGAATTGGTTTGCTATTCACAAATTTCACCTATTTTCCCTCATCATTCCCCCCTTGGTCTACAGAAAAAGCTATCAGAGGATTTCTAGAATACAATGGGAAGAGAATGAGATGAGATCCCCCCCAGCAGAGTCCAATGCGGGCAAGTGGATCATATCTGGGCACAATTTCCTTGGCAAGAACGGGATGGGGTGGGGCCAAGATGGCGGAGGGACTTGTTTAAGCTCTCCCCCAAACCCCTCCAAATACCTGGAAAACAAAATGGCTCTAAACAAATTCTAAAGCAGAGTGAAACAAATTTCCAGCCCAAGACAACCTGGATGGTTGATCAGAAAGGTACATCATGCCAGGCTGCGAGCAGAGCACGTGTGTGCGCAGGCCACAGCAAACCTGGAGCAGGCCTCAGAGGACTGAATCACAAGCAGCTGTGGCGATTTCCAGACTTCTCAACCCACAAATGCCAAAGACAACTTAGAAGGTCACTGGGAAAAGTCTGTTTCTGCAGTGAGAGAGAGAGGCTAGATCCCAGCCACAAGTCTGGAGCGCCCCCTGGGGCAGCAGCTGCCTCCTGAGCTTCTGGCCCACAGACTGAGGGGGAATCGAGTGGCTGATCAGAGGGGGATTGCAGGGATCTCTTTGCCAGTGCTGAGGCAGGAATCTCTTGCTTTGCCTGCGCTTGGATCTGAGTCACAGTTCTGGGTGGCAGTCCTGGGATGAGGAGTGCTGGAATGACGGAGCTTGTAGTGGCTGTGAAGAGAAAATCCTCCTCACAGTTCCAAGACAGAAAAGACTGCTTGTGGTCACTCATAGACCAGAGCACAGGCCAGGAAAGGAGTAAACACCTTGCCCTTGGTCATACCACCTTGGAAGAACTGAAAATTTACAGGTCCCTACAAGTATTTCTGAAAACAGCTGTACAAACCCCTGAAGCTTGGGACAGTACATTCTCCACATTGGAAGCAGACTCTTACCTTAACAAAGAGTTTAAAACTCAAGTGATTGGCTGGGATCATGAGCAAGCAGCACAAAAACAGCCAGACTATATTATCTCACTTTGGTGAAAAAGAAGATCAAAATATACAACCAGAAGAAAACAACAAAGTCAAAGCTCCTACATCCAAAGCCTCCAAGAAAAATATGAATCAGTCCCAGGCCTTGGAAGAGCTCAAAAGGGATTTTGAGACGCAAGTAAGAGAAGTAGAGGAAAAACTGGGAAAAGAAATGAGAGTGATGCAAGAAAATCATGAAAAACTAGTCAACAGCTTGCTAAAGGAGACCCAAAAAAATACTGAAGAAAATAACACCTTAAAAAATAGCCTAACCCAAATGGCAAAAGAGCCAATGAGGTGAAGAAGGCCCTAAAAAGCAAAATTGGCCAAATGGAAAAGGAAGTCCAAAAGATTACTGAAGAAAATACTTCCTTAAAAATTAGAATAGAGCAATTGGAAGCTAGTGACTTTATGAGAAATCAAGACAAACAAATCCAAAAGAATGAAAAATTAGAAAACAATGTGAAATATCTCATTGGAAAAACAACTGACCTGGAAAATAGATCCAGGAGAGAGAATTTAAAAGTTATGGGGACTATCTGAAAGCCATGATCAAAAAAAGAGCCTAGACATCATCTTTCAAGAAATTATCAAGGAAAACTGCCCTGATATTTTAGAACCAAAGGGCAAAATAGAAATGGAAAGAATCCACCAATCACCTTCTGAAAGAGATCCCCAAAGGAAAACTCCTAGGAATATTATAGACAACTTCCAGAGTTCCCAGGTCAAGAAGAAAATATTACAAGCAGCCAGAAAGAAACAATTCAAGTATTGTGTAGACACAATCAGGATAACACAAGATTTAGCAGCTTCTACATTAAGGGACCACAGGGCATGGAATATAATATTCCGGAGGGCAAAGGAGATAGGATTACAACCAAGAATCACCTACCCAGCAAAACTGAATATAATCCTTCAGGGGAAAAAATGGTAATTCAGTGAAATAGAGGACTGTCAAGCATTCTTGATGAAAAGACCAGAGCTGAATATAAAATTTGACTTTCAAATACAAGATTCAAGTGGAACATGAAGAGGTAAACAGGAAAGAGAAATCATAAGAGACTTATTAAGGCTGAACTGTTTACATTCCTGCGTGGAAAGATGATATTTCCCTCAGCCCGTGTTAGAGCCGTAGCAGTCATTGCTTCGAGGCCTATTGGACCAAAAGGTTGACGGCGCCGTGAAGGAGCTCATGAAATTTTTTATGAAGTTGAGTCATGAAACTGTAACCATCGAATTGAAGAATGGAACACAAGTACATGGAACAATCACAGGTGTGGATATCAGTATGAATACACATCTTAAAGCTGTGAAAATGAACCTGAAGAACAGAGAACCTGTATAATTGGAAACACTGAGTATATGAGGAAATAACATTCGGTACTTTATCCTCCCAGACAGCTTGCCTCTGGATACTTTACTTGTGGATGTTGAACCAAAGGTGAAATCTAAGAAAAGGGAAGCTGTTGCAGGAAGAGGCCGAGATCGGGGTAGAGGATGAGGACGTGGTCGTGGCAGAGGAAGAGGGGGTCCCAGAAGGTAACTTCTTCCGTGAATATTGTTATGCAATTCCACAAAAGTCAGAATATTTTTTTGTACAGGTTTTGTTTATGATGTCAGTTTTTAATAAACACAAATGTGGGGAAAAAAAGAAAGAAAGATGATATTTATAACTCATGAGATCTTTGTCAGTACTAGGGTAGTGGGAAAGGAAAAATTATATGCATGTATATAGATAGACAGAGAGATAGATAAATAGAGGGCACAGGGTGAGTTGAAGATGAAGGGGTGATATATGGAGAACAAAATTAAGGGGTGAGAGAGGATTATACTAGGAGAAGAAGAAAGGGAGAGGTAGAACAGGGTAAATTATTCACAAAAAAAAGAAAAGAAAAGGCTTTTACATTGGAGGGGAAACGGGGGAAGGTGAGAGGGACTGAGTGAATCTTATTCTCATAGGATTTGGCTTAAGGAGGGAATAACACACACACTTAATTGGGTATAGAAATCTGTCTTACCCTACAGGAAAATGGGAGGGGGGGGAAAGGGACAAGAGAGCAGGGAGATGATAGAAAGGAGGGCAGATTGGGAAAGGGGGTAATCAGAAGCAAATACTTCTGAGGAAAGACAGCGTCAAAAGAAATAATAGAATAAATGGGGGGGCAGGATAGGATTAAGGGAAATTAGAGTTAGTTTTTCACAACATGTCTGTTATGGAAGTGTTTTGCATAACTGCACATGTATAACCTATATTGAGTTGCTTGCCTTTTTAATGAGGGTAGGTGGGGAGGGAGGGAAGAAGAAAATTTGGAACCCAAAATTTTAAAAACACGTGTTTAAAAAAAATGTTTTCACATGCAACTGGGAAATAAGAAATATAGAAATGTGGTACAGAAATCTATCATGTTCTACAGGAAAATAGAAGGGGAAGGTGATAAGAGAAGGGGGGGAGAGACAGAAGGGAGGGCAGAATAGGGGAAGGGGTATTCAGAATGCATGCCATCTTGGGGTGGGGGAGGGGTGAGATGGGGTGAAAATTTGGAACTCAAAATCTTGTGGAAGTAAATGTTGGAAACTAAAAATAAATTTATTTAAAAAAATTTCCTTGGCAAAAGCTATGGTATCAGAGGGAGCTGTGCACAGCTTTAGAACTAGGGAATAGTTCAACCTTGGTCAAGGACTGATTTGGGCACAGTAATCTTTTTCTGTAAGTGCTCAAAGAGAGGTGCAAGCTAGCAGATGGCCACCAGTGGATGTGATCTGAAATGCAAGCTGATTAAAAGCTATGCAAGTTGGACAAATGGCTTTCATGTAAATTGCCACTAGGACATAGTCTAGAGTAACCCACTCTTGCTAAAATAAATCTACTATCCCTTGTGTGCCACACTGACTTGAACTAAAAATGTATACTTGGGGATAGAAGTTCTGGGAAGGAGTGGTTTACCTATCCCAGTCACCTAGATCTAAAAGACTGTTTAGTATAAAAGACTGTTTAGTATTGTACTGCTGTTTCCACTTTGCCACAAGTTGATATACAGTGAATAGTTGGTTCAAAGTAATAGCATTAAAAGATACAATTACTTGAGTTTCCAGGTGATCCCAAATGACACCCACTTATTGCTCAAAAAAATTTCCTTTTTCTGCTCCGGAGAAAATCTCCAGGAGAGATCTTGGTTCCTCAAATGGGCAGTGATGCAGAGTTTCACAATACTCTGTCAGTAGGGCTCATCCCAAGGAACTTTACAAAGATCTCCTAAGAGGATTTTACCATGCTTTTCTCCCAACAGTAAGTCATTTGTTATTATTATTATTGTTATTATTTTCTAGTTTTTTTAAAATACACTCTAATAATCAAATAATAGATGTATTTATAATGTAATAGTATTAAGATTGAAAAGAGGAAGAAACTTGCTTTAAAAACTTGTCTTAGCCTTCTTGCACTTAAAATATCATAAATCATGTGATAATGATTTAGTTTAATACCTTATAAACTTATCAATTCATAGAAAGTCATTTATCTTATTACTCCTGGCATTTTCAAAATAATCATAGTAGTTTATGTAGTGCCCACCACATGCTAGGCTTTTTCTGTGTCTGAAAATTACTTAAGCCTGTTTTTAGTAATAATCTAAAATGTTTGGTATATAATTTCCCAATTTTGTTAACATTCCATGCCAATTAGAAAAAGTACCTATAGCATTTTGTTCAATTGTATTCCTACAAGGTCTGAACACGACAATGCTCATCCTTTACCCGAGCCAGGCATTGTGTTAAGCATTTCACAACTATGTGTTTCTCCCAACAACCCTCGGAGATAAGTGTAAATATTTATTATTCCCTATGTACATACAAGGACTGACTAGAGTGTCTAATTTACTACCATTACAGTATTTTCAACCCAGTCATTTTTATTTATTATGACTAATAGCAATAACTACACTTCATTTTGCACAACATTCCCTTATTTTTTTTGTTGGCTTATATTAAAAAAAAAAAAGATTCATGGTGACACTCACAACTTCCCATTACTGCTTCTTTGTTTCTTTGAGTCACCCAAAGAGCCAAATCAATTCCTTTGAATTTTCTAAATTACTAATCCTTTAGCATGACTATTTAAACCAGAGCAAAGAGATGATCTTTTCTCTATCAATCAACTAACATATTTTGTAGACTTATGTCGATTGGGGAAGGAAGACATAACAACAACTACCAAGAAGGCACTGCTTAAAAAAAAAAAATCTACATCTTTTCTATTTCAGTGGGATTAAGACCCTCTCTGAAATCTCCTTTTCAAAATTCCAAAACCCTTTACTTTCAAACTCTGAATTTACACTGCCAATGCAAAGAGACTCCAACTTTCTTTACCCTTCAACTCATCCTTTACTTTTCTAATTTCCTTATGCAACACTACTCTTTCTTTCTTCTACTTGGTTGATTCCTCTAGTAAACCCCTTGGTTACAAATTGGTTACAAATGCACAGTTAATATCAATTAGTTACAATCACATAGTTTTTATAAGTGATAGGCAAATAGACTTAAAAACAACTCTCAGCACAAGTTCCTCATTTTAGGGTGTCACAGATTTTAGCCAGCACGAAGACTTTAGAGAAGAAATCATCTGTCTCCTTCTCAAAGTTAAACTTTTTTTTAATGCTGAAAAGGCATTCATCCAGCTATTTTGGCAATGCCCAAGGGCATCAGCCAAAGCCCAACTACGGCACATGAATATGACAGGAATTGCACTACTGGATAACTATCTGATGGAGACTGCACTTTTCTGAGGGGCTCAGGGTGTAATTTTTTTTTCTATTTCCTTTCAAATCATTCAAAATTAAGTCTATTAATTTTGTTTTCTTAATAATTTGCAAGTTCTGCTTTTCCCTCTCAAAATTTAAGTATTTTATACTTTTATTTGCCATCTGCTCATTTTAATTTGATCTTTTCTAATCTGAGCACCCTTGATTATTTATGACTATGATCATTTATGGTTTTTCATGGCTTTTACTTGCAAAGCCACTATTCACTGCAAGCTGCTCAAAATGGTCTTGGTGTGGCTGTAATCAGCCCAAATACCATGAAAACTACTAAGGTCCTATTAAAGAGTTACAGGGCTCCACTGCTGGCCCCAGCTCTCTGAAACTGTAATCACAGTGTCCCGCTCCTCCAGTCAATGCCAGCAGCATTGTCTTTTCTCCTCTTCATGTACATTAAACTATACCTTATATTTTTAGGGTTTGGGAAATAGGGGTCCCTGTCCTGAAGAGTCATGTGGTTCAATCCCCTTCAGCCTTTAAGAGAGGCTTTTGGAGATATAGTCACAGACTTGGTGTCCAGGCTCATAAGACTAAGAGATCCTCAAGGAGGTCCTCTGTGGTGGCACCCTCTAATAGGTGTGCATGAACTTAATTTCTTCTATACCTATTTATATTCTTGTTAATTCTATCTTCAGTGATTCTTTCCCTAACTTACTATAGCCTTAATTATACAATTTGAACTTATTTTCACTAACCAATTGATTTCAACACGTTTTACTGTGTTTCTAATTTACCTAAACAACGGACTTAAACAGTAGCAGTATCATTAAATCTCACTTACCTTCAGTTGCTTTCTGATTTCAAAACAAGTTTTCTTTTTCTGGGAATGCTTTGGGAATCACCTTCAATCTGGGATACCTAGTGAGGACTTGCTTGTACCCTCAGGTTGGTTGTTTAAAAGCAGTAAACAACAGAATGGTAAATGAATTCTACTTCTACCCACTTTTACTCTTTCCTGAAGACGGTCTAAAATTTCCTTATTCTATCTTTTAATAATAGACTTATCCCAACTTTAAGTACAGTTTTAAAGTATGTTTTTATTCTACACTAAAATTAAAACCAGTTTCACAGATTGATATCTCAAAACTTCAGACTTAGAGACTGGCTAGCCGCTAACTGAAACTTCTTCAAGCATAGCTAATGTGTTTCCTTTTTAAATTTTGAGTTGTTAAATTATTTAAGGTCACAAGATTTCAGATCAAATTTCTCCTATATCATTCCCTAAGTTTTTGTTATCTTAACATTTCTCTGAATTCCTTTTTCACTGAATTTCTCCTAAACATATCTCATGACTATGACAGTTCTTAAAACAAAAACTTCAGCTTCAAATCAACCCCCATCATTTTAAATCCCCTTTTAAGAAATAACTGACCTGTGAGTTGTTGTTGTTGTTTTTCATTAAACTCTACAGTCTGCTAGTACCCCATAAGCACACTAAAATACTTTATAAAGACATCCAAATTATAATTTAGAAGTGAAAAATAACTATTCCTTTTTAACAAATTTCCAATCTTTTTTTAGTATCTTAGTTTTCAGTTAATTTCTGTAGGTCTTTCATCTCATCAGTCTTCAACACGGCCAGTATTAGGAACAGAGAAACAGAGAGATATGTGTCCTCTTTTAAACCTTTTTGAAAGTTTGAAAGAAAAAGCATAGGTAAAACATAGGCTAGTTATGGGTTAGCACAAAGCACGAATAGCACACACAAAACAGACACACATTTTCCATTGTCTTAAAGATTTTCCTAATTATATAAGATGCCTTTCTATCTGAGATAAAGAACCCACTATTCCTAAACTTAGTTTCAAACAGACACACACAGAACATATAACAAGACACAACATTAAATCAAACCTGAACTTCTCCTAAGTTTTTTGCAGAAGACTGTAAAGTCAAGATCTTACGTGTCTCCTCTACTAAGTATAGAATTTATGACTATGTTCGACCACTGATTTTATGAGCTTTTCAGAGGAAGGTTACCTTAAGTTTATTTACAAAAGGGTCATATAAACCTTTATTATTTGCTTTTAGGTGATGGATGACACTCAGCTGGTGTGGCATCGTGCAGTATCAAACATGGCTCAAGAGAACATTTCTTCAGATGATCCAAATGTTACTTAGTCTGCTGCACTTGCAGTACAGTACAAATATCAATACAGGAGTCAGCATGGCTAGGTTGTTCTGAACACTGAATCCGTGCTGCTTAATATGAGATAAAGTTTTGCTTTGGATTATCTTCCCCCCCTGGAAGCACACCTCTGATGCTCTGGGATTGACTTGAGATGGCAACTATTTTGTTTGGATAAAGGCTGAATAATGGTTAAAGGTGTGGAGCTAGCCAAAAAGAGATCTGCCTTTAAGAAGAGGATTCAGATGGAACAAAAAACAGGAAGTTCTTGAAGGCTTCTAAGAAACCATTTGTGTACGAAGTACACAAATTAAGATGACTCCTCGGTTCCTCTAAATCTTTTCATTTAGCTATGAAGGTACTAAAATATACAAAAATCTGATTTTATTGATTCTCAGGCTGTTTCATGAATGGTAATAGTGACTATTAGAAAATGCTCTGATGGAAAAGGCACTTCTCACAGCCGAGCTATAGACTATCCAGGGTGAGTTGATGGAAAAGGGTTGTTTACAGGGCCTCTTGAATACCATGACACTTGCACATGGTTAAGTGGGATGAAGGGAATAGTTTATTTGCCTTAATTGTCTATCATGTTCTGTAACATTTGAAATTACAGAAATGGAATAAATAACTGCTTTTAGATTTAAAGTTTAAAAAAAAAAAAGCTTATGACCATCTTGTAGCTAGAGGCCTGCTAACAGCCTAAGATAATTCTTCTGCTTCCTAATCATGTTAATGCTTTTAGAATCTTCTCAATAAAACATCTGATTTAGTAACAATACAAATTGCTTTAGTCTAATTTGCCAATTGGGTTCACCCATTTGAAGTGTACTTTGTATTCAGGACAGGTCCCTAATAGATAGAAGAGCTGGTTAGAATTCCATTCCTCTAGACTTCTTGCCAAAGTGTAATCACAGGAAGAGAAATTGAGACTGATGAAAGATTGAATAATATCAATATTTCATTTATTCTAAGATGGCTTGGGAGGTTATTCCATAAAACTCCATAACTTTCTAACTAATCAGAAGTTCCATGCTTTGGCCAAAACAATTCCCCAAACCCTTTGTATTCTCAAACAAAACACTCTTTCTTTAGTCATCCCACCCTGGACAGGGAATCCATCCTTTTCCCAGGCTGCCAAGATTCTACCCAGTGGAGATCCTGTAAGAATGCATTTCTACTCTTCTGCCCAACCCCATCTCTCCTGAGGGTGTCCCTGAACAGAAGCAGCACTTACTTGGAGAAACGATTCCTTGACAGAATTGGCCTAGATTCCTGAGGACCTGAGTTATTAGCTATTCCTTTCGAGAAGCTCCCCAACTGAAGACACTGGAGATTACCTCTCTCAGATATCCCTCCTGAACAGGCAGTCCACCCTTTTCCCAAACTGTCAAAATAAAGCAAGGGAGATAATTTCCAACCCACCAGAGACTTGCTTACATGAGTGTCTTTCCTACAGCTAACACTCAAACGTTTAAGGATTTGTTTTGGCAAATTCACCAATACTTCCAATTCTTTATTTCTGAGCTTAACCTTTAGGGTCCTAAGACCGGTCAACAAGGGCTTAAAGGTCCTTTATAAGGGAACATTCAGCAAAATTTATACCTACTTTCCTTTAAAACTTCCTGAAAATTTAGCTCTGATTGTCAATAACTGACTTAGTCCTAAGCAAATACAAGCAAAAATAACCTTTTCCTTTCCTCATATCTGTAAAATTAAAATAAGCTTTCTTCTCAGGTCAAAAGAGGGTGGGAGACCCAGGATGGTCACAGCCTTGACAGCTTACTGTTGAGGTTGGGAATCTCTCCCCTAAGTTTCTGTGTGATTAAGGAAGAAAAGTGTGGTTCAGCTTCGCTCCTACAATAAGACACGTTCCTAGAGACAGAAGTGAAGATAGCTTTAATTAAGATTATAATACAGGTTAAAAAAAAAGCTAGATTTACAGCAACATACAAGTAGCAATATGGCTATAGTCAAGCTAAGAATACAAAGGATAGCAGTGATATAAGAAAACATCACCAATTCGGGGAAGCACTAACACCTGAAGTCCAAGCTGGGGATTCCCAGGATACAGCTTTCAGGGTCCCGATTGGGAAAGTCCCAGGCAGAGCACCCTCTCCATGGGTGAGAATCCAAAGATGGCTTTCCCAATTAGGATTTAAATAGGGCCTTTAACAAAGAAGGCCCCATGCCAGAAGTGTCTGTGATTCTAGTAGATGTTTTACCTCGGTCCAGGAACTGGACAAGTTCCTGGAGCAAGCAAAACATCTTCAAATATTAATTAACTTGATATGTTCTGATGAACTGGCCAGGTTCCCAGAGCACATCTTTTCCTGAGAACTGGCTGAATTCTCAGGTCAACATAGAGAACCACACTCTGGCTTACAGCCCAATGTTTAGAGTCACACAGGGGACATGGAAGATCTTTCCTTATAAGATTTATCAATTAGGGTCCAAAAGTTGCCCGTCAACCAGTTTAAGAGATTTCTCTGCTAATGACAAGAATAATTTAATTACTCCTTGTTAAAAGACTTTAAAGGCAAAAAATATATATTTTAACCCTGACAAGACGAAGTTTTTAAGTTAACTAGTAGCTAGGTGGCTAAAATGAGGAACTAGCACTTCCACTGCTGAATCTCCTTGATCTTAACAAAATGAAAGTAAGAAAAATGGAGGATAAACATACAGTAACCTATGTTTAAAAAGTTAAAATTATGGCCATACAATTTTTATTAAAAAGTAGAATTTGAGTGCCCCAGAGCTGATAAATTTAGACAGATTAGTCACAAATTCAAACAGTTCCTCTTAGCCCAACAGAGGACCCTTCTTAAAGAAAAAGGAATTTAGGGTAAATCAAAGCAGACTCACCAATGTTGAAGAGATTTACTTCAGACTCATAGAATTTCCGTGCAGACAGTGAGGGGAGTCCAACTTCCAAGGGCTTGTGTCTGTGGGGCAGCCATCATCGAAAATTTGACCCCGTGTGCACTTCCTTTTTTTGGGTCCCTTGCAGGAGCCAGCCAAAAGAGGTTGGGGTTTGTCACCTTCCCGTAGCAGGATGTAATGTGGTAATAAAAAATGATCTAACCATCTTATCTAACAATAAGAAAAACCGAGGCAAAGCTCTGGGCCAATGGCACTTTATTAAAGGGTCTATGGTCCCTTCTAATGAAATGGCCCTCAGATCTTCCTCATAGTCTGAGATACCCCCTCCTTTCAGGGTCCTATTTTTATAGGATTAGATATCTAAACGTTCAAGAACAGGTATACCAAATACAGAATAATTCCATTGGTTGACGTATGATGCATAGGCTAAAATAAGCATATGATATATCAGCAGGGTCACAGGTTGGGTAAAACAAGGAATATCTCCACTGGCCAGGTGGTCAAAAGATGGATACCTACTCACGTTGAACAAGAGAGAATGGTCTGGAGGTACAGAAATAAGTTTGGGGAACTTCCCTTGTAGTTCAGTCACTTCCACCACAGTGGGCTCGATCACCATAACAAGGAAAAACAAGGGAGGAGACCTTTGGTTAACTTCCTATGTTAAGTAAGTGAATTTACAATCTGTAGCTCATCATTCTGGGGCCAAATATACAGAACTTATCATCACCACTCCTATGGAATCATAATGAACTGACTAATACTGATTAGCATTTGAGTTGGGGTCCTCAAGGAATCAACTTTCTCAAAACAGTCCCAATTCTGGCTGGATAGTCAAGTCAGGTAAATGGCATAGTGGATAGAACACTGAAGCTGAGTTTTCTAATCCTGCCTCAAGGACTTACAAGCTATGTGATCCTGGACAAGTCACTTAACCTCTCAGCTTCTGTTTCTTTATCTGTAAAGAGGAGGAAATTATAGTATCTATTATGCAAAGTCTTTATGAGCATTAAATAAGATTGTGTATGTGTATGTGTGCGTGTGCATGAGCACGTGCTCCTATGTATGTGTATCTCAATGAAAACATTAAAGAGCTATGTGTTGTTGTTCAGTCATTTTTATAAAAAAGTTAATATGGCTTTTATCATGTCATTCCACTACTCAAGAACCCAGAAGAGTCTCGTCATCTACTATATGAAATCCAAACCTGATTCTGCTCTGATACAACATGTCTCCCTAACCTTACTTCCCATGACTCCATAACATCTACTCAACCCAATCAGGCTACTGTTCTCATAGGTATCCTGGTCCTTCCTACCTCAATACTTTTGCTCAGGCTATATTTCTTTTTCTGAAATACCTTACTCTTCTCTTTCTATCCAAGTCCTATCTACATTATGATGTATAAAAAGTTTGAGAGACATAATTTCTGGGTGATTAATCATTTTATTAATTATGGCTGGTGAGTAGTAATATAAGGTGGTCATCTCATAAACCAAAGACCCCTCATGGAACCCACTCAATACTTATGTGCCCTTGGAAAAGTGAATGTTCCTGAGGGTGGAAATAAACTCTGATTGGTTAACAAGTAATGAGAGAATAAATGTTATGAGAGGTGGGCTTATTCTAATAAGAGTGTGGGAAATGTGACTCTGATCACTCAGTCTTCGACCAAGAGAATTATCTATATCAGACTACCCCCGTCTAGGGGGTAGAGAAAAGGGGGAATCCACTTCCCCTAGACTAGAATTTCTTTACTTTTTGATCAAATCTAAGTTTCCTAATTGGGTATATTTCACTCAAGATTTCATTTCCTTATCAGCCCTATATTTCAAAGGCTGTCTGAATAAACTACAGGGGCTGATTTTTGAATGAGGAAACAGAAAAGGGGCAAATCCTTAGTCCTAATTCAATAATTGGTTATTAAGATAAGAGAAAAATAACCATTTCTCTCAATATATACTTTAAATAAATTCAGTCCAAGAAACAATACAATACTCAGGAACTGTACTAGATTTTGCAGAAATAAAGATGAAAATATCACAATATTTTGCCCTCCAGGATCTTATAATCAAATGGGATGCAAGACATAAGTCACCAATAAATATGATACCAGGAAAAACTGTGATTGGGCAAAGGAGAGATCCAGACAAAGAACTGTAAAAAATTTTAGGAAGGAAAATTTTTGCACTGGGTAGGATGAGGGAAAGCTTCAGGGAGGAGGTACCTATGATGACCTGGATCTTGAAAAAAAAAAAAGGTGGAATTGAGGAAAGAATTTGTTCCTAGCATAAGAAAATGACCTATGCAAATGCACAGAGGTGGTAGAGAAAAAGACAAGATTAGGAGACAGCTAATAAGTAGCCCAGAGCAACTAGATGGTACAGTGAATAAATCAGTCAGCTTAGAGTCAGGAAGATCTGATTTCAAATCCGGTCTCAGACATTTACTAGCTGTGTTACCTTTGGGCAAGTCACTTAACCACTATTTGCCTCAGTTCCTCATCTGTAAAATGGGGACACACTGGAGAAAGAAATGGCAAATCATTCCAGTATCTTTGGCAAGAAAAATCCATGATGGGGGTGGGGGGGTGGAGCCAAGATGGCAGAGTAAAAGCAGTGACTTGCTTGAGCTCTCCCTCTAACCTCCAAATACCTGTAAAAAATGTTTCTAAACAAATTCTAAAGCAGCAGAACCCACAAAAAGACAGAGTGAAACAAATTTCTATCCCATGACAACCTAGACGGTTGATTACAAAGGTCTATTGTGCTGGGCTTGGAGAGAAACACAGTTCACAGGCAAAACAGGCCTCGGCTAACCTGGAGCCGCCCTCAGGGGACTAAATCACAGGCAGCTGTGGGTGTTTCCAGACTTCTCAACCCACAAACACCAAAGACAACTTAGAAGGTCAGTAGGAAAAGTCTGTGACTGGGGTGAGACAGAAGCTTGGTCCCAGCCCGGTCCCGGCTGCAGCCACTGGGCAGGGGCTGCTTCGTGAGCTTCCAGCCCACAGACTGAGGGTGAATTGAGTGGCTAATCAGAGCTGGATTACAGGGATCTCTTTGGCACTGAGGCAGAATTCTCTTGCTTTGCCTGTGCTTGGATCTGGGTCACAGTTATGGGTGGCGATCCTGGGGCAAGGAGGAGTGCTGGCATGGTGGAGCTTGTAGTGGCAGTGAAGAAGGAATCCTCCTCACAGTTCCAAGACAGAAGAGACTGCTTGTGGTCACTTACAGACCAGAATATGGTCCAGGAAAAGGAGTAAACAGCATGCCCTTTATCATACCACCTTGGAAAAACTGAAAATTTACAGGTGCCTACAAGTATCTCTGAAAACAGCTGCACAAAACCCCCAAAGCTTGGGACAGTACATTCTCCACATTGGAAGCAGACCCCTAGCTTAACAAAGAGTTTAAAACTCAAGTAATTGGCTGGAATCATGAGCAAACCTCGCAAAAAAAGTCAGACTACAGAATCTTTCTTTAGTGACAAAGAAGATCAAAACATACAACCAGAAGAAGACAACAAAGTCAAAGCTCCTACATCCAAAGCCTCCAAGAAAAATATGAATCAGTCTCAGGCCATGGAAGAGCTCAAAAAGGATTTTGAGAAGCAAGTAAGAGAAGTAGAGGAAAAACTGGAAAGAGAAATAAGAGTGATACAAGAAAATTATGAAAAACTAGTCAACAGCTTGCTAAAGGAGACCCAAAAAATACTGAAGAAAATAACACCTTAAAAAATAGCTTAACCCAAATGGCAAAAGTGGTCCAAAAAGCCAATGAGGAGAAGAATGCCTTCAAAAGCAGAATTGGCCAAATGGAAAAAGAAGTCCAAATGCTCACTGAAGAAAATACTTCCTTAAAAATTAGAATGGAGCAATTGGAAGCTAGTGACTTTATGAGAAATCAAGACATTGTAAAACAAAAACAAAGAATAAAAAAATAGAAAACAGTGTGAAATATCTCGTTGGAAAAACAACTGACCTAGAAAATAGATCCAGAGAGAGAATTTAAAAATTATTGGACTGTCTGAAAGCCACGATCAGAAAAAGAGCCTAGACATCATCTTTCAAGAAATTATCAAGGAAAACTGCCCTGATATTTTAGAACCAGAGGGCAAAATAGAAATTGAAAGAATCCACCAATCATCTCCTAAAAGAGATCTCCAAAGGAAAACTCCTAAGAAGCCAAATTCCAGAGTTCCCAGGTCAAGGAGAAAATATTGCAAGCAGCTAGAAAGAAATAATTCATGTATTGTGGAAACACAATCAAGATAACACAGAATTTAGCAACTTCTACATTAAGGGACCACAGGACTTGGAATATGATGTAAGGACATAAGATTACAACCAAGAATCACCTACCCAACAAAAGTGAACATAATCCTTCAGGGGAAAAAATAGACATTCAGTGAAACAGAGGACTTTCAAGCGTTCTTGATGAAAAGTCCAGAGCTGAATAGAAAATTTGACTTTCAAATACAAGACTCAAGAGAAGCACAAAGAGGTAAACAGGAAAAAGAAATCATAAGACACTTATTACGGTTGAACTGTTTACATTCTTGCATGGAAAGATGTTATTTGTAACTTATTTGACCTTTGTCAGTATTAGGGTAGTTGGAGGGGAAAAAAAATTATACATGTGTATAGATAGATTGATAGCTAGAGGGCACAGGTTGAGTTGATGAATAGGTGATATCTGAAGAATAAAATTAAGGGGTGACAGAGGATTACACGGGACAAGGAGAAAGGGAGAGGTAGAATGGGGTAAATTATCTCACATAAAACAGACATAAAAAGGCTTTTATAGTGGAGGGGAAATGGGTGAAGGTGGAAGGGAATAAGTGAATCTTATTCTCATCAGATTTGTCTTAAGGAGGGAATAACACACACACTCAGTTGGATATGGAAATCTATCTTACCCTACAGGAAAATAAGGGGGGAAAGGGATAAGAGAGCAGGGAGATGATAGAGGGGCGTGCAGATTGGAGGAGGAGGTAATCAGAAGCAAACACTTCTGAGGAGGGACAAGGTCAAAAGAGAGAAGAGGATAAACAGGCGACAGGATAGGATGAAGGTAAATATAATTAGTTTTGTCAAAGGATATGAACAGACAGTTCTCAGATGAAGAAATTAAAGCCATCTATAGTCATATGAAAAAAATGCTCTAAATCATTATTGATTAGAGAAATGCAAATCAAAACAACTCTGAGGTACCACATCACACCTATCAGATTGGCAAACATGACAAAACAGGAAAATGATAAATGTTGGAGAGGATGTGGGAAAATTGGAACACTAATGCATTGTTGATGGAGTTGTGAAATGACCCAACATTTTGAAGAACGATTTGGAACTATGACCAAAGGGCTATAAAAATTTGCATACCCTTTGACCCAGCAATAGCACTTCTAGGGCTATATCCCAAAGAGATCATACAAATGGGAAAAGGACCCACATGTACAAAAATATTCATAGCAGCTCTTTTTGTGGTGGCAAAGAATTGGAAATCGAGAGGATGCCCATCCATTGGGGAATGGCTGAACAAGTTGTGGTACATGAATGTAATGGAATACTATCGTACTATAAGAAATGATGAACAGGCTGACTTCAGAAAAACCTGGAAAGACTTGTATGGTCAGATGCTGAGTGAAGTGAGCAGAACCAAGAAAACATTGTACACAAAAACAGCCACATTGTACGATACTGATAAACTTAATCCTTCTCAGCAATACAAGGGTCTAAGACATCTCCAGAGGCCTCATGATGGAAAATGCTATCCACATCCAAAGAAAGAACTATGGAAGTTGAATCGCTATCACTTTTTTTTCTCTTCTGTTGAGTTTTGTTTCATCTTTCTGATGGTTCCTTCTATTGGTTTTAATTTTTACTTACAACTTCACTAACGTGAAATTATGTTTAATAGGAATGTAAATATATAGCCTATATCAGATTGTGTGGTGTCTTGGGGAGGGTGATGGGGAGGAAGAGGGAGAAAAATTTTCAACTCAAAAGCATATGAAAGTGATTGTTGATAAATCAAAAGAAATTAATAAAATTTTTAAAAAGAAAAGACATATAGTTAGTT